TTTTAATCTGCTAGTTTCAGCAATCTGTTTGAGGCAGGAACTGGTGTGAACGCACCTGCAGATGCCTTTGGTCAGTCTCCAGCTCACTTGGCTGCTTGTGGCGGTGAAGCTTTTTTCCTACTTTGGCAACTACAGACAGGAGCGAATTTGAACCAACAGGTAAAAAAGTACAGAAGATTTGTTTCTCCTGCTCGTAATCTGGCATGTCAGTTAGTCCAATGTATATTATTTACATAAATTTTTATCTTAGGATTTTTATAGGCAGTTGTATTGCATGAGGTATCTGGGGTTGCTTTTTTAGAATAACTTTATTCTAACATCAACCAGAAATCCTTCTTTAAAATATGTATCCCCTTCCTTAACCACTAACCCTCTGTACTGCCTTAGCAATTTTGTGTTGTTAAGTGTAACATAATTTCCACACTTGTTAAAATGCTGCATTATGATTCTGACATGTCAAAACTACACATTACTCTACTTTTACACAAATTAGTGTTCCTAGTTCCTCTTTAATTTTGCCCCTGCTTCCAGTAAACATAACGATTATTTCCCTCTGGTTGCAAATTTTGATTTGCTTGTATCTCTTGAGTGTTTGTGGCAGCAAGTTGTCATTCACAGCAATCCCTGAACAGTGATGAAAGATTCTGTTAATCAGTGTGCAGAGTGTATTCTGTGTAAATAATTTTTTAGAAGGTAAAGGTTAAACAATGAGTATTGCATGGCATAGTATTTCTGCTTTGGTCTGCTGAATTAACAGAATATACTAAACGTATTTAATGGCAATTACTGAGTACACTTTACTAGATACATCTCTTTAATCCGTCCCTTCAACTCGTAACAAACTGCTCTCCCCAATAATACTCTATGAACAGTCATCCAGGAGATACAGGTTAGCTTCATCCTATTTCCCTTCCTTCAAATAACTGCTACCTATAAATTAAATCTGGTGTTTTATATTTTAGGATTGCCTTGGAGAAGCCCCCATTCATAAAGCAGCAAAAGTTGGGAGTTTGGAATGTCTTGCTCTCCTCGTAGCTGGTGATGCCAAAATTGAGTAAGTTAAGCTATTTTTAAGCATTTCAGCATCCGTTGTCAAAGGATTCCATGCCTTTGTTTTACAGGATTCTTTCTTGTTCAAAGTGTGCATGCTAAGACAATGAATACAGCGTGACTACAGTTGAGAGCAGCAGGCATAAAAGCAGTATCAGAACATGAAAGCCACTTATATGGAATATATGCTGTTGTTCAGTTCCACATTAAAGACCTCTTTACAGTAGCTGCTAAGAGAATTGTACTGATCATAGATTCTCCTTGTTAATTTTCCATTCTGACCGATGCTGTGCTCATCTTGCTCATGCCTGATACACTAAGCCAGTCATAACCTGGTGACAACAGTATTTAAAAATAATTATCCCTTATTTCCATTAGCACCAGTCCTCAGTATCACTAGATTCCCCTGCTATCCCTGACAACCCTTCTTGTTGCTGATTCTTTGTACTTATTTTTGTACTTCTGTCCAGACCTGCCGCCTTATTAAAGGATCTTGATCACTGTTTGTTGATAACATGTATTCCAATTTAATGCTTTCTGGTAATTCTGTGTTTCAGTTTGTGCAATAACAGTGGACAAACAGCAGCAGACCTTGCTCTGGCTTACGGCTTTCTGGAATGTGCCAAGTTCCTCACAACAATTCAGCATACTCAAACTATGAAACTGAGGGGACAGTCTGGCTACACACTGAGTGACAAACGCAGCTTGCTGAGAGAGAATCCAGCTACACAAAAGCAAGAACAAGAAATCAGTGGATCCACAAGCAGGAAGAGGAGAAGATCAGATGGTGCGTAAGACCACAGCTTTACTACATTTCAGAATATTTCTAATCTAATAGTTTATGCTTTTAGTGTTTCAGAAAATAAATTTGGCAATAGTTACATAGTGGTTGGATTTAGATATTTGCCAGGAAGTCTGCACTTGCATACGTATTTAAGGTTGTTGTCCAGTTAAAATAGTGTATTGTATGGGGAATGCTATTGAAAAGGCTCTTCTAACACAAAATAAATCGTAAGTGCTCTGAGTGATATACTGGTGCAGTAGATCACAAAGAAAGCAGTGTATCCTGATGTTCTGATGACAGTAGCTACAGGCTTATTCTTGTTTGTTTATATGACAGATCTTATCGCCTAGCTGACAAAAGAAACAGCTTGTAATCCCAAAAGGAAATTAAGGAGAACTTCAAGTCTGAAGAAACATGACTGGACTAGGAACTGAACAGCCTGATATATGCTGTTACATTGTCTCCTTCTGAGAAGGAGGAAAGCTTGTTTATTTTTACTTCTTAAAGAAGACTTTTTTTTTTTCCCTCTCTCTAGAATAGTTGTATTCACACAGCTATAAATAAATGAGCCTATAACAACTTAGTCTCTTACATTTTTTCTAGGTAAATATGAAAACATAGTTGACAAAATTCAGTACATACAATGATTTTTCTCCCATCCCTCTCATCCAAAATGCTGTTATCCACAGTAAAAGCAGTAAACAACGCCTCTGAACATGTATTGTACTGCACCATACAGCTGGCTGTATAAAATCTGAACAATAAAATGCGGTTCATCTTTCCAGCAAGAAAATTTCATAAAATAAAAGGTTTGGGCTTCTAAATGTTAAAGCTTTTTAGCGTAAAACCTCATGTTTGTGTAACGTTTTTATCTTAGCCAAAAGAAGAGACTTATTAGTTACTTAATAAATGTATTTGTACAGAAATACAGCTCACAGCCGTTCCATTATTTTTAAAGTCTTTAGTTTTTTTTTAATTTCTTACTTTAAAGTTACTTAAGTAACATTTCTATTTCAACTGAGTTGTGATTGACTTAAAGTTTTTTCTAAGTCATCTATATACAGCATAAATAACAAGACAGTTGTATCTAGATCAGCTAGCATTCTGGTTCACCATGTTCCAGCATACGATTAGAATTTAAATAGTTTTTGGTCGTTGTGGTAGGCACAGGTTATAATAAGCATCCTTGTTCCAAAACTCTGGGCCCTTCCATCCACACCAACCCTGTACAAGAAAAAACGAGATCCAATTAACAGTCTACTATGAATTCTATTTTTCATATCTACTACCACTGGTTATATTTTATCTTACTAATTTTAATCTGAGCTATTTTCAGATATCTATAGAATACTGTGTGACACAATTTTCAGAAAGTTTTGTACATGCTTGGAAACACATTAACGGAAAACACTTTATAGAATCTCAAAGCATCAAAAGGTCTGCCAAGTTATTCATGAGGTTACTGTTGTCAAATATTTTTTAAGTCACTGAATTTTCTTGCATGTTTATTGACCAATAGGAGCAATGCTCTTCTCATTTCATACTTTTTATTGAAAATTATTTCGTATTCCTATTCCATAATAGAGGCCTACATTTAAAAACCAACACATTGCACCAAAAGATGCACGCTGGCAGATGCCTAATGGTTAGGCATTAAAATACCTAACTTCAAGACATACTGACATACAGAAGGTATACTCCTGCACAATACTTTACAGGAATCAAGCACCTTAGAATAGGATCTTAAAACAGCCTGCCTATTAAATAAGGAGATGGTCAATGTAGCTGCCCCACCCTGACCACTAGGAAACGCAGAGAGCAGTGTTCCTTAAACTCTACCTCTTGTTCAGTAGTAAGCAGAAAGCAAGTGTAATTTCATTAAATAAGGAGGGGTAGTGTTCAAGTAGGACACCCAATCTCAGCTATTACAAAGGAAGAACAAGGATTCATCCAGTTACTGACCGTTTGGGCCCTGGCCCAAAGTTTTCATAGTTCTAAATATGAGCTGATTTGGAAAATGATAGATCTCACATTCCCTCCCTGTCTCTGTCTCTCTCTCTGTCTCTGTCTCTCTCTCTGCTTCTAAAAGGTAGCATCTCTTTTCCATGTCCCACTGCTTTCTGCCGCCACAGTAAGACTTACTCTGAAACTCTCTCATTCCCCCCAGTTTCCATTTCTCTTGTCTTGTTTCTAAGAACCTTTGCCTGCTTTGGGAATGGTTTGGATTTCAATACCCTCTCCCCCTTGGCTCCTTACAGGCTTTTGGAGCAGGTATAAAAGGAAGCCTATGTGACTCTTGTTCTCTTCTCATACTATCCAATAAGCAGCAGCCAAACTGAGCTCTTAGTCTCAGCAGGTGTGCTATTGATCACACTTTTGCAGAAAAACACCCTAATAAAGCTCTTAGTCTGCAGACTAAGACATTATCATGTGAGGTGTTTCTGAAGAAAGCAGCTACAAAATTAACAGTTCACCTCAATTCCTACCCTCCTCTGCTGCTGAGGAGGAAAAGGAGTTCTGCATATATTTCATCCTCCTGGACTGTCCTTGAACACCTTGCAGCTGTAACAGCCTTTGGTTTGACAGGCTCTTTAGAAATTAAATATTGCTTTCAGTATCCATTTCAAGCTTGGACCATTATGGGACTACTGAAATGCTTGTCCAGCAGCTTTTCAACTTTGTGCTAACCCAAAGCTAGCAAATAAAGACATAAAAGTTGCTATTTGCAAGTTCAATAACAGAAAATAGGAGCATTACCACTTAAAGCCTGTAGTATTTTAGCCCCTTTCATGGTTTTAAGTTTCTGACACTGGGTTTACTGTTAGCTAATCTGCTGGGTCACTCCTTTTAGTAGCTTTAGATATGAAAATAATATTAAACAACTCACTAGTTCTTCAGAATTTTTCCAGATTTTCAAAACACATCGGCCCTTCAGACTTAGTTCAAAGACTGATTTGAGAATGCCTGACATTGGAATGCCTTCTCTTTTTTTAATCTAAACAGTAATAGCAGTTTACAAACTGAACAGATTTTTCTGTTCCATTCAAAATATCAGACATACTTATTGTACATATTACTGAGTAAAAGGAGAAGGTTTCGTTTCCCAAAAGTAAAGAGCATTTCTTTTTACTGTAACAAATTTATGTAGTTGCCTGCCCAATATATCTTCTCCAAAGACACTAAGTTTCAGAAACTAACAATACACAACATACATGCATGTTAACTGGAGTCAGATTTTTCCTTGCTCCTCCTCCACAAGGAACAGAGAAGCTAAAGAAACCTCTTCATAAGCTGATTCCGTTCCTATTTGGCTATATGTATTTGTTTAATGTCAAAATGTGTATGTGTGTATTTTTTTTAAGAGATATATATATGCGTATGCATGAAGTCTCACCTTTTCCAAAATAACATGCAGATCTTCTCCTCCAGTGTAATGTGGGTCTAGAATCAAATATTTTATGTGCCCTGTAATCTCATTCCAAGCCACTCCTAATATTGTGTGAGCCAAAACACCTCCACCTAAATAGGAGGAAAACAAATTGCTCAACATTTCCAGTGAGACTGACTAAATATGCAAGCCTAAGTAAAGTACCTCAATACTTTGTATTAACACATTGCCTTAGCTTGGTTAGCAAAATGTTTCTGAGGCTGTACTATGTAAGATTCTTCATACTGTTAAACAACATATCTTATTAAAACTAGAGAAATTTACTTATTTTTACTTTACTTACTACCACTAGAGAATTTACTTTCCAAATTTCTTCCATGTCAGTATGGCAAGTTAAATCCTCAGCACTTCCACCAGATGAAGTCATTGATATTTCACACATCTGTTTCGCTCACTTTTTCTTTATAGAAACTTAAATGCAGAAAAGGAATGAGTCTGGTAAACTTCCTGGATGTAAATGAACTAAAATTAGAACAGAAATTAGAATTCCTGGATAAGAGAATCTGCTGTTTTCCACTGAATTCCATCAATGAATATTAGGAACAAAGACGTAATTTCTGACTCTGCTTCCTCTTGCCTGCAGACAGGAAAAGGGGACGTTTTGATGAGCTGGCTACAGCTCGACTCTTCCATGTCTTTTTTCAACAACTGATTGCATCAGGAGTTAGTTCTTCTGGATATTGCAATAAAGATTCCACGCAATAGATAGGAATTGCAAGAATACCATACAAAAGAACATAAGCAAAACAAATCACAGGAGACCATTACAGGGAGAAGTTATAGATTAAAAGATTTTTAATACGGGATCAAAATTCTTGGAGTCCAGAAAGTGGACTTTCTGGAAAGTAAAAAACCCAAGACTATTTCATACTGAATTTGAACTTCTGGCATCTCTGTAATTTGAGAGAGCAACACTCTACACATTGCCAGACAGGAATTACTGTATTCTGCAAAAAACAGAGAGGCATACTGAAGAACACAAAAGGCAAAAAAATATCCAGACTGTGGGACAACATACTTCTCAAGGTGCATGAATTAAGGTGAGTCAGAGATCACATGAAATAAATATATCTGGGAAACCTGAGATTAAGACTTTTGTTACAGTGTTCACAGGGAAGCTTCAAGCTGTTGAAGGAGAAAAAACCCAATTGGCTAAGCACAGGAAATTTACTCATATTGATAATTAGCATAATGTATTTCATGGACAACTTCTAGTAGGGCAGGGAAGGAAAGCCAGATACCAAAGGGAACGGCTTACAAATACTGTTACACAAGGAATGATAACAAGAAGCTAAATGATAAAGTAAAACCAAAACAAATAGCTAAAGCAGAAGAACGGAAAAAGTATTCTGATAGCACAGGCAACCATATCATCGGCTCGCACCCATTAAAAAAATAAGACTCCTAAACCACACTCTCTTCCGTGCAGCTGAATAGAACAACTTATATGATTACAATTTCTTCCACTTCTGGAAATGGCCTGAGCTGGATGGCACTGTCTCAATTCCATACTTGCTTAGTATCAAGACTATGCTAAAATTAAAATATTACAGCTGAAAATTATATTTTAAATATTCTTCTTCATGCCTCTCGGCAGGGGTCCCATTAAAATTATGGTATTCTTAAAACTGGTATTTCCTATGTTATCAGCATTTTAGATTATTAAAATATGTATTCTGGTCTTAAAAAGAATTTGGATGATGAATGATACCCATCCCTTCAAAGCCAGATGGACACTACTATTCTGCGGTGGAAAGTTTTTTGGCAATTATATGAACCTCCACTCATCTGGACTTCTGACTTCACAGGTAACTTTTAAGAATCCCATTCAGATTTACTTTTGCTACCAGGTTTAATACTGAGCTTGGGTAAAATACTAAATGAAAAGATACCATTGAGACTAATTTATATGGTTTTGCAAGCTCCCACAGGAAGAGCATGATAATTCAGCTAGATTTCTGGTTAACTCTTGTAGAGTAAATGGAATCAATTCTGATTAAATTTATCATCAAACCTATGAACATACATTGGCTTT